CTGGTAATTAATAAGATGGTAGCAGGTTTGGGGGGGGTGGAAAACAAGTGTGTTAATTCTTTTTAAGGCAGTTAAAAAAAAATATTTCAAATGTTTTCCCAATGGTAGTTGAGATTTTACCTTCTAAAATTGCATGAAAAGCCAAGTACTGTTCTGTGATGATACTAAACTGTATAATGTGTAAGGTCACAAGGTTCAAGGAAACATGCTTTCCTGGAGGAGATAGAAGTGTTTATCTAGTCAAGTGAGTCATTTTCCTAGAGAAACAAGTTTTCTAACAACTGTAGAAAATTAATTTTCAGTAGGGAATAGCGAACCTTTAATCTCAGCTTCCCTGTTCAGCGGTAAGAAAATCTTCACTAGAAAATGACTGGTATCTGTCTCCCCCACGATGGCAACATTTCAGATGAACACTGGGTTTCTGAGTGTTTTTCTGAGCTCTGCCAGCATGGAAAATCCATCCCTGATTGGGATTTAGCGGTGAGCAGTCGGGGCAGCTTCTTGCTTGAAACCAGCAAGCTTTCATGTGTTTACAGCTTTGGTTTTTTGGCAATAAATGTTTGTATTACCTGTGATCGAGGAGCCTTGAAGGGCATTACAGAGGCGAGTCACGAATACAACTTCATTTCTTCCCAGGTCTCTGGGAGGCTGATTTATTTAGGTAACCTGATTTATTTGTATTTTAAACTAGAAGAGAATTCCATCATTTCTGGGGGTTTTAGACAAACAAGTTTGTTGTTATAATTTTTTGTATGAAAGGAACAACAAAAAAAAATCCGAATAATGGTTGCTTTTTCAAAAAGGATTAAAGCTGGTTGATAAGAACCAACCCTCCCAAGACAGGGCTGGGAGAGTCCCAAGACTGGGCTGGGTGATGAGTTGCTTGAAGTTACCTGAGCTGATTTCACAGAATCACAGACTGGTTTGGGTTGGAAGGGACCTTAGATATCCTCTTGTTCCATCCCCTGTCATGGACAGGAACACCTTCCACTACACCAGGTTGCAAACTGGGAAGTCCTGCATGGGGACTGACCCATGCAGGGACTGCTCTTGCCTTGGGCTGCAGAATTAAGCCCGTTTCATTTGCTGAGCTGCATTACACAGTTCCCATTCAGCTTGCTGATTCAATGCAGCCATCCCAAATGAAAATGGGATTTGATGTCCTCTTAAGCAAAATTCATGTATATAGAAAGGAATTATTAAGGCAGAAATTAAATTCCACTTACTCTGGGTATTCCAGGCGTGCCTGGAGCTGTTCTGCTGGTGAAGATGTGCTCCTGCACTGTGCTTTTGCTTCAGCCTTTCCCGGAGTCGTCCCCGGCTCTGCCGTTTGATTCCTCGCCCACTGGAACTGCCGGCCCTGTTTGACAGGTCTGTGCAGCCAACACAAACGAAGGCTGATTCATTCACGAAACATTCCTGAGTGGGGAGCTGGACTGTAGCTCTGCTCTGGTTTTACACTGCTTCAACTGACCTGGCTCCTCAGGACATGGTGGGATAAGCAGTCCCAGCTCACTTTGCAGTGACATTTTTCTCCCATCTTGCCCTGCTTTTGGTTTCAGGTGGGGAACTGTCAATGCAGATTAAATAAACCGCTGGGAGAGGCTCATAGCATCAAGGATTTCTGCCAAGTTGGCCTGGTATGTCCCAAACCATGGGGCATTCCAGTGTGATGAGTCCTGAGTGCTCAGAGCTGTCTTGCCTCAGAGGGGGACCCAACACCTTTCCCAGCAGCTGTCGAGTTCTCAGCTGTGGAGAGGACTTTATAAAATGAGAGATGGTTTTGCCAAACTCATTCTCTTCTGATAAACTAATAAAAGAATATCCTGTATTGGAAAATCCAATACAGATTATCCTCCCTTCCCCTTGATTTCACTTGGATTTATGACAGTTGGGGTGTCCTATTGCCTTAGGGAGGAGACATTTGCCACTGATGGTCCAGAGCGGAGGGACCTGGAAATTTGGAGGTTACATGCTCTCTCTATATTCCTAAAGTTTCATTTCAGGATTTGTAGAATGAACTTAGATCTGCACAGACATTTGTCCTGCTTTTGGGAGAGGGGTGGGGAGAAGCAAGAGAGGTTTGTTGTCCAGATGCTCCCATAGCTGAACAATCTCATTTGTACAGTGGGATTTTTGGCAGTTTCCCGTGTCTCTCGGTGTTTCCAAGGCTCTGATATGTATCCACAGTGTCATTCATGCCGCTGTACTGCAGTAGGATATTGACATTTGTGTACTACCTTTTACCAGAGAAAGTTAATTCCTTAAAGAATAAAGGATTGTTTTGGATGCTGCCCTTCCCCAGGGTTGCAGCAGGGAGGATTTACACTGCAATGGCCAAGTAATGTTTAGAGTCATAAAATTCTGGCTATTGGACGAGCTCCTAATTACTTCGATCTCTCTTAGTCTCACTAAAAGTTGGACAGACCATACTGAAACGAGACAGTTGCATTTGCAATTATCTCCATACGTAGGTCAGTGGGTTCTTTTCTTTTTTTTTTTAAACCACAGAAAAAAATGGGAAAATTTATTTTCCACTTGGAGCTTTTAATGAAGGGCATTACTGTACATATGGTTTGTTGTACCATATCCCCCTCCTGTGTGATGCTCCAAGTGGGTGTCAATGGATTCAGCTCAGCAGGGCAGGTCTGAGGTGCTCTTAGGATGGAAAATACTTAAAAATCCCATGTGGACTTTGCCCTGGATGGGTGTATTAAGAGATACTATCGAGTGAAAATAAATAAAACCACTAGAAATTACATTTTCATGATTCTTTGATTCTACAAGTTGCATTCTTTCCACAATAAGTGGTATCAAGGTGTTCCTTGCAGGTGTGGGAATGGAAGTTACTGCATTCGTTCATCAGCAAGTTGATCTCTGTTGCTGTTCCTGGAAAGTCAGTATCTCAAAAATACACTCTCAGTGTCAGCAAAATGCTGTGCTGCTGAAAGCTGCCAGATTATATTCTCTCTTTCTCCTTTCTGATGAGCTGATCAATAAAGGAGGCATTTCCATAACATGGTATTTACTCTCTCTCCAGTCTAAATATAATATTTATAGTTGTAAATATTCTTCACAGCTGGTAGCTGGTTTCTCTCTCCTGCTTTCATGATAAGTTTACAGCACGTTGCTGTTGCCAGGCTCAATCCTACATGTTTTTTGGCTGCCTCAAAAAATAAAAAAAAAGAAAAGGCAACTTCTTTGAAGTCTTGTGCAGTGTTTATGCATGAGATGGGTGTTTCTTTTGGGGTAAGTTCTTAACCTGACCTTCCTGGTGCTCAGCTGCACGTGCTGAGTGTGAGTATCCAGGGTTTGTGAGTCCCAGTCAAACATCCCAGTGCTCAGCTTAATCAACCTGTACATGGATTTCTTCAACCTCATGCACTCGAGCCATTTCGTGGGAGCCCAAACCAAGTGGGAAATGGGAAATAACCTGCAGCTTGTGGGGGAATAAAATTACTGGAATTTGAAGAAAGATGGAAGAAGTTGGGTGTTTGGCTTTGGTGAGCTCTAGGGAGGGCTGAGAATCTTTGATTTTCTTCTGCAATTCTCAGTCAAATATTCTTCTCATTTGTTAGTCCTAGTTAAATCATTTATGGTGCAAGAATTATTAGAGAGACATATACATAAAATGTAGATTCTCCCAGCCCTGTCAACTTAACAGACTTATTAGCATTTTCATATCATCTTTCCAATTAGTAAATGCTTTTTTGTTGTTGTTGTTGATGTTCAGCTTGCAAGTAAAAGAGAAAGCCACCTTGGATTAGATTTACACCATGTCATACTCTGATGAAAGCACTGATTAGCACAAGTCATTTGGTGTCATTCCCCCCGTGCTGTTCCCCCCCGAGCTGTCAGCTTTCATCAGGAGCAGGAAATGCATGTTTGCAAAGTATAACTGTTATTAGCAGAACTCAGACTAAGGGAAGGCTGGGGTTTTTCACTCGCAGATGTGTTAGAGGAGCAGGGAAGTGTGTGGGCAAGTGAGCTGTTTGGTTTCGCTCATCTCTCTCCCCTGCGTTTGCAGTTATGGTGTTGTTGAATGACTTAGCACAAGTTCTCCCACCTCTGTGAAAAACAAGTATTTGTGATAATGGGTTTTTTGTTGTTGTTGTCGACTGGTACATCAGGTCCTCTGTTAGCAAACCAGTTAAATGGTGAGTCACTGCAGGGAGTAGGAGTGATTGCAGCACGCAAAAAAAAACACAGCGTAGGAAACCTTGGATTAATATAAGCAGAGAAACTATCAATAGAAATGCTGACCACTGGTGTTCCCCAGAGCAGAACAATCTGGCTTCAAGGAGGAGAAAATAGATTGATGTTGTTATGAGCAGTGAAATGTTAGTGTTTTCTGTAGACATTCCTGTCTGGCCTTTGGAAAGGAGACGGCAGCACTGCTGCTCCGGATGAGGGAACAGAGAGCTGGTGAGAGGCTGCTGGAACTGTCCCCACACGGTGTGCATCAGCCAGGAGTGGGTCTGTGGTCCCTTGGAAAGGCAGGAGACTTCCCAGAGTGGGATCCTGGGTAACTCAAGGCTCCAGGATGTGAGCAGGAGCTTGCTGCTTGAGCTCCTGGAGCACCCCGTGCCAGCTGTTTCCTCAGGAGGAGAAGGAGCGTGCACGGTTCCTGCCAGAGCCTCAGGAAACATCTTCTGCTGCTTTTCACATCAGCCAGCAAGTGTCTGTTAAAAAGAAAAAAAAAAAAAAGTAGTTTTGAATGTATTTATTTGCAGTATTTGCAAAAGTTCAAGGCTTGGACTAAATTGGTTTTGCTGGTTCTGTTAGCTGATAGAAAAAAAGTGAAGTTATGTAATGAACATGGTCTTTTTAATGGCAACATAAATGTTTGCTAATTACCATATGGAGATGAAGGTCATATTAATTACAAAACAGTTCTTGCAACGCTACCAAGCAACCATCCTTTTAATTTTTTTTTTATGGGATTAATTAGAGAGAATATGCATTCAGGACTGACAGCTTTTCTTCATAATCTTTTCCAGAAAAACGTATATGGCTCTATTTGAACCTAATTGAGTGCTGTGTGCCCTGCACATCTGTGCTGGGTGGTGAGGTCGATGTCTCAGCTGCACTTTGGCCAAAAAGGGCAGTCACAGCAAACAGCAACCAAACAGCAGTGTGGGAGCAGATTTGGCCTTCTGAGGCATGAATTTAAAGCACAGATGAGAGCTTGTGCCAAGAGGCTTCTTGGGAGCATCGGGTCTGTTCTCATTAAAGGCTGAGGGTTAACTCCTGTGCTGGCAGAGTAAATACTGGAGTGGGACGGGCAGGATAAACCTGCTGCTGCTCAGGCTGGACATGGCTGGGGCTTTCTGTTCTGCTGCATCACCAGAGACCCGGAGTGGGATGCAGAGCTTTCCTCTGGGGCTGGGCTCTTCCCTTCCCCTGTTTCTGCACTGGAGACACAATTGAAGTTAAAATGGGCAAGATGTGCATGGCCAAAGCCTTCCTCCTCCTGTGTGTGGTCCTTAGGCCCTCAGTCCATGGACATGGTGCTCAGGTGGCCAGTGCACAGCCTGGGCAGCACAGCAGGGCAGGGGGTTTGCAGGGCCGTGCAAGGATATGAGCTTAGGCACTGCTGATGGGCACGAGTAGGCTGGTTCCTCCAGTGTGGAGTGGGAATGGTTGATGGCAGTGTGGAGCTGTTTGGGCACTTGGTCTTGTTAAACCTCTTGAGATTCCCAAGGGCCACTTCTTGCTTTTGTCCAGATCCATCTGGATGGGCCCATCTTCCAGGTGTGTCACTGCACCCTCAGCTTGGTGTCACCTGCAAACCTGCTGAGGGTGCCCTTGATCCCTTTGTCTGTGTCATTCATGAAGGTATTAAACAACAGTGGCACAACACAGACCCTTGAGGGACACCACTGGTCACCGGTCACTGATGGCTGTCAGGACTCTGAGCTGTTGACCACGATGCTCTGGATGGGACCATGCAACCAATTCCTAATCCACCTAATGGTCCACCCACTGAATCCATCTCTCTCCACCTTGGAGAGAAGGAGGTTCTGGGGGACTGTGTCCAAGGCTTTACAGAAGTCCAGATGAATGTCCTCTATAGCCCTTCCCTTGTCCCTTGTTACTCCATCAGAGAAGGCCACTGGTTGGTCAGGCAGGACATGCCGTTGGTGAAGCCGTGCTGGCTGTTCCAAATCACCTCCCTGTTCTCTGGGTGCCTTAGCACAGCTTTTAGGAGGGTCTGCTCCATGATATTCCCAGGCACAGAGCTTGGTAGTTCCCAGGATTGTCCTTCCTTCCTTTCGTAAAGATGGGTGTAATGTTTCCCTTTTTCCATTCACCCAGGACATCCCTTGACTGCCAGGACCTTTTGAATGTCTTGGAGAGTGGCTCGGCAGCTCCATTAGCCAGTTCCTTCAGGACTCTGGACTGCATTTTGTTGGGTCTCACAGACTTGTTGACATTCCAATTCCTCAGGTGAATCTGATCTTCACTTACAGCGAGAGGGGCTTTGCTCTCCTGGTCCTTATCCCATCACTTGAGCGGTGTGGGATCTGTGACCCTTCAAGCTGGTATTTGCTGTTCGTGCCACTGAGGGAACTCTGAGCTGGCCCCAGCGTGCAGGCAGCCTCCAGCCCTCTGCTGACCTCAGGCAAGTGAAAAAGTGGAGCAATGGTACAAGAACTGAAGGCTGGAGATGAGTTTTGGCATTTGGCACCCTCTGGCATGCCGTGTGCTCGTTACATTTGCTTGCACGGGTGTGCGTTTGGTGCCGCGCTGCAGGTGAACTGAACCCAACTCCTGAAGGTTACAGCTCTGGTGCCCAGGCATTCTTTGACTGCTACAAAATGATCACTAGTGAGTAGGATTTATTAATCAGGGTGGGACTAAAAGGACAGCAAACCTGAAAGCAGCATCTTCTGTTCAGGGTCCCTTGAGCAGGGCTGTGCACACGAGCTCTGCGTTGCTGTGTCAGTGGGACGAGTCGTGTCATGGCTGAGCAGCTTCTGTGCCCTCCTCCTGCCCAGCTTTGGGGGATCACCCTGAAGATAAAAGTCAAGAGGGAAAATAAGCCCTTGCCCGTGTTTCACCGTACGCCAGGATTTCAGTTTTAGTCCAGACCTCTTTGCTGTGCAGTTTGAGATGTTTAAGGTGTCACTCAAGTTGAACGCTGTGATGACAGCAATCAGATTCACTCGAGTACTTTTGTGCTGGCACAGTGCTCTCGTTCGGATACGTGTCAGCAGAGGGGATTTAAAAATACGGATGTGCTGCACTAACCCAGCTCCGAGGGATTGTGTGCACAGAGATGGCCAGCTTCGTGAAACAATTACCGTTCAGATAGCCTGGAAAAGAGGAAGGAATACTAATGTCTGTGTTCTGATGACGTGTGTCTGAAGCACTGAAGGGTTTCAGACTCAGATGTTTGAAGGTATTTAGGAGTGTAAGCCCAGCTTAGGGGAGGAAGTCCTTACATGCAGAAGTCTCTTTGGAGACTTGAAGAGCACGGTGAAGGTCACAGGTTAAGGACTAGTAACAGGCCAGTGCTAGAAGCTGAACCCAAAATGCCTCAGTCATAAGTTGTTGTGGTGTTTTTCACCTTTAGCTTCCCTAACTTGAAGGTGTTGCCTTTACTTTCGGAGCTCATTGTTCTTCTTAAGGTATATATAGTGAATTAAAGCTTGCTGGCCATTGGCTGGATTTTCTTTGCTATCTTTCTGAGGTCTTCTAGATGTTAAGGGTCCAGCCCTCTGAAAATCAGCATGAGCACAAACACTACCCTGTTTAGTTCCTCAGTGGTTCAGAGGAATGTGTGGAGCTTAATGTGTAAATGTGGCAGAGGGTTTTCTTTCAAGTAAAGAGAAAAAAGAAATCATGAAAATATAACTGTGAACATTTTGAAAGAGAGCTTTTCTTTAACTAATTTATAAGGTCTTTCTAAAGGGATTTTCTTTAAGACACTCTTTCGTCTTATTTTAAAGTAATAATTTTCTTGATGAGAAAATTATTCTCCTACTAATTTTTTGTTAATATAATGTGATGTTGCTGATGAACCTGAAGGTGACATTTAAAGGGAGGATACCCCTGAGAGATCTGTACTGATGCTGGAGCTGGAGGAACTGGGTCATCACAGATCTGCTGGTCACATACTGTTCTTGGGGACACTGTGAGGACTTCAGGGCAAAATACACACACGGGCATCACACCAGTTCTGAGCTGTGACCTGACTGAGCGTGTCAGGAGGACGCTCAAAACTGCAGAAGGCCATGGGCTATTTCTGATTTGTTTAGGACTTGCCTAAAAGGTGAAGCTGTTGCGATAGAAATGAGGGACTGACACTGAGACACCACTTTTCTCCTCCCTTTTCTCTCAGTTCGGGCTGTCACTGCTTTGACTTCTTGCATCTTAGATCCACATGCTTTCTGATCAGGCTGCCTTGTGGGAGGACATGTGGCTGTGTGATGAGGTGGTTGACAGCCATCCTGGTCTCTGGGTGGTTGAGCTCTAGATTGTCAAACCCTCTGGAGGCTGTTTTTAAGTTTGGTGCTTGGTACCTGCCACCTGCAGAGTGACAGGTGCTTGTGTGGCGTTTGTGCACCACGAACTGGTGTTTGCTCACCCCACCCGGGGCTGGAGTTCAGGCTTTGGGAACCTTTGTGTGCACCAGGGATGATGTGGCTGCATGGAAAGTCAGGGTGGTTGTCCTAAAATGAGGACAGTGATGATCAGACCTGCTGCTGTCTGCTGGCTCAGAGCTGGTGCAGAGGACAAGGTCCTGTGTGCTGAGCCTCCAGGTGCATCTCAGGAGCTCCCCACAGAGCAGATGAGGCCAACAAATTCAACTGTGGAGGGTGAGACAGTTTATCCCACTTTCAGGGTGTTTTTCATCTTTTTGCTGGTTTGAAAAGACGCCTTTAATATCACTCCAGTGATATTAATTGAGTGGTTTACTGGACTGGGGACTAAAAAACACTTCAGCTTAGAAAAATTAATTCCTCTGAACTATAATCAGGTAGAAAATGAGAAGATTGTTAAACCTGTGTTTTCTTTGTGGCAAAGACAACATAATGGAAGTCTGGAGTGTCCAATTGAGCTAACAAGGTTTTTAAAGAGCCAACAGGAATAGGTAGGAGGACAACGTGTGTCTGACAGCTGAGTACAGGGGATGTGGTGACACAGGCACGGAGTGAAGTCGGCACAGATACCGGCAAAGGGAGTCTGGCGGCGAAAAATAGGCTGGTGAGAGAGAACAAAGCACTGCCTGTCGTGGGAATGATTGCTCGTCCCTTTTGATCACGGCGAGGAGGGAGGCTGGGTGAGCAGCGTTCAGACTGAGAAAGGCGAGGGAGGGGGGTGAGAGGCGGCAGCCCAGGCGTGATGGAGGCATCCCTGGGCACCCTGACCCCTGCCCGGGCTGGGCTCAGCACCAACACCCCTGGGGAAGGACGGGAGGGGCTTTTCTCCTCCAGCTCGGGGCAGAAACCCTGCAGTCCCTGACTTCCTTCGGGCAGTGGCTCAGTCCCCCCGCCTGGCTGTTGGCTGGGGTTCAGCTGTGCCTGTGAGATCCCCAGGGATCATTTTAAGGGCTGAAATATGACGTGTGTAATCTGCTCAGCCTCTGCCCTGCCTTTAGTTCCCTTCCAGCCCTGTGGGTGGCCAGGAGGAGATGGAAGCTCTCCAGTGACACACTGCAGTAGGTTTTGACCTCGGGAAGGACAGAGCAGGAACTGTAATGGGCAGCATTTACTGTCTGGTGGGGTTTGAGGGAGAGGCTTTCGTGTGACATTGGATTGAGGCTCCAGCCATGGCAGTGCCTGGGCTCTGCCACGGAGTGTTGTCCTGCTTGTTCATCATCCTCTGCAGTTGCTCTGTCATGTCTCACGAGCAGCCCCCGAATTATTCATTGTGAGCACAGGGCTCTGGCCAGGACATGCTGCTCAGCAAAGCCAGAATCACAAATGAGGGCTTTAATATGGAAGAGGCAGCAATGCCCCGTGCCTGTCCATCTTCCCACTGGAGGGGCAGCAGCTGGAAATAGGAACAAAATTTTACTGGTGGTTTCATGTTGAGCCTTTCCAGCCCGCAGCGTGCTGTAGAGCTTTATTAACATTGTGTTTTTAATTTATTTTTGGGGTTTTTATTATTTTTTAGACTGCTTGTGTGGGCCAGCCCTGGCCACACAATGGTGGATTGGGTGGCACACTGGTCTGCTTGCGCAGCAGCCCTGCTATCCATATGTACAGTCTGTATCCTTGCTTTGGAACAACTGCACC